ACGCCAAACTAGACAGTCTAATGAGTCTAAAAGAAACCGTGACCGGAATCGAAACGTCAATGCAGATGCTATCTGATAAGTATGATAAAATTCTCGAGCATATTAACCATCAGGACAATGAAACAAAGGCAGTGAAAAAGCGTCTTGAAGCTCTTGAACGACTAAAAACCGGCGAGGAAATTGAACAGTTAAAACGCGATCTAAGCGATATGGAATGGCGCAGTAGGCGACCCAACCTCGAAATCTACGGGATCCCTGTAGCTAAAGAAGAGAACCTCTTGGTTCGTGTTAATGAAATTGGAGCAAGACTAAACCTTCCAGAACTGACTGACGGCGATATCGTAAATATGCACAGGCTCCCGGCAAAGCAAGATAGAAATCCAGGCGTAATTGTGCGTTTCGCACAGCAGACCACTCGCGACCGGTGGCTTGACAAAAAAGGAGAACTCAGGCGTAGTAGAAGCAACGTTTTCTTCCAAGAAAACTTGACGAGACAGAGTAAGGCCCTTTTGTGGGTGGCTAAAGAATGGGCAAAGCGAAATAACTATCAATACGTCTGGCACCGGAATGATAAGGTGTTTATCAGGAAACAAGACGGCGAGAGGGCGCTTAAAATCTCGGATGCTGCCGACCTTGATACGATTCTGTGAATATCACTTATGGCGAATTCGGGTGGTCAATCGCCGGCGTGCTCACGCCGGCGGCACAGGCAACGAAAACCGCGCCAGCGGCGCACCACGTGACCCTCTCCACCCGAACACAAAGCGCTTGCAACTGGCGTTTTCGTCTGCCTGGGTCGCGCGTGAACTTCGTTAACTTCTTCCTCGGTTATTTTATGATATAATAGGCACGCTGTAGGCATCAGCAACATATATTTGGACTCTGAGATGTGGGTAAACAAATTATAGTATATTTTGTTTAGATTCTCGAAGAACTGTTGCCCTCTTACAAGGATCCCAGAAGCCCCATCAGCGTCGCCATTTTATATTCCATTTTTTTGTTATTACTTTTTTGCTAAAATTCTCAGCATTTTGATTTGACCCAGCTCTTTAAAATAGTAATGCGCGTTCAAGTGTCGAGCTGCAGCACTATCAATACATTTTTTACAGCGGTGTAGTAACACGCTGTGTCCCATAGGAAACTGATCTTGCGGAAGCTTCCTTTAAAATATTTTATTTTTATCTCCGTTGTTTTTGCTGTCTTTTCTCGGACCACAGAGGGGTGTCTGTCTCAATGGCTTCGTTTTCTACTCGAACCCGCCATCGGCGACCATTGTTTTGTTTGGTTCCCTTTCCCGATTCGGATATGACGAAACCGGATACAATCTGGCCGACAAGCTGCCCTACCTCTTGGAGCTCGGGCAAAAATTGTGCCGGTAAATTGCCAGCACACGCCTGAGAAGTGCCACCCGAACGGCGCGCACTCGCCAGCCTTTGACCACGCGAACGCCCTTGGCGGAGATATGGCAAAATATTTTGCCGGGAAATGACCACGCGAATTCGCCATTACTGTTTTTTCCTCCTTGTCCTTTTTGGGGTGAATGACCGAAAGCGCCTTTTTTCTACCGCAAAACGTGAAAAGCTATCTCGGTGAAGATCTAATGTCATGCGTGACGTGTTTTCATTTAAATACTCAGTCAGCCAAAAACAAAGCTGTTGACCTTGAGTTGCTTTTCGATCAATTTGGTTTTCACTTTGATGTTATAATGCTTACCGAAACTTGGTACACGGATGAAGCTGATGTTCTGAAACTGCCGTCGTATCGTTCTTTTTACGTCAATCGCTCAGAGAAGCGTGGTGGCGGTGTGGCCATCCTGACTAAAGACCCTCGCTGTGAATTAATAAAAGATTTCAGCTGCGTCACACAGGATTACGAGATGCTTTGTGTTCGTAGTAAAGATAATATTTTTGCTGTTATATACCGACCCCCTAGTGGCAGTCTTGAAACCTTCTTTGAGTACTTTGAGTCCTTCTTAATATTTGTCAATGAAGGAAAGTATAATGTTACTTGTGGTGGAGACTTTAACATTGATATGTGTACGGACACTACTGTTAAACGCACATTTACGACTTTAATTAATACTGGCGGATGCAGAAACGTTATCAACAGCCCCACGCGAGTTACCTGCCAATCCAAAACACTAATAGACTTGTTCATATCAAATCGCTCGACAGAGCATATAAAAGCTGGTGTTGTATGTTGCGATCTTAGTGACCACCTCCCAATATTTATTTCTGACAAATATATGAAACGGGAGGCAAATAAGAAGCAGTGTACAATGTTTCAAAAAATAACACTTGATGGACTAGACCATTTTTTAACCGCTCTATCAGATATAAATTGGGATAGCGTACTCAACCAGGATACCGCCGAAGAGGCCTACAATATATTTATGGAATTGTTTTCTGAGCAATATTTGACACACTTTCCCTTCAAATCTATGAAAACTTCTAAACGCATTAAAAAACCGTGGGTTACCCCCGAACTGCATTGTAAAATTCGTACGAAAAATGCGTTATATGCAAGATTTGCGAAGTCCAGAGATCAAAACGATCTAAGAGTCTTCAAAACATACCGCAACAGCTTGACAAAAGAGCTGCGGCGAGCTAGACAAAGCTATCATTTTAACGTGTTCAAAGCAGCGCAGGGTCATGCCGATGTCATATGGAAAGAATTAAACGCCCTCTTAGGTCGAAATCGCTCCCGCGGCTCTATTGTAAAGATTGTCAATGACGGTGCTGAACTAACTGGGCATGCGTTAGCGAATGCCTTTAATGAACATTTCATAAGCATTGCAGATAAAACTAACACCGTAAATTCTTCCTTGTTTCGTGACACCAGAAATAATAACTCAATATTTTTAGAGCCAGTCGTTGACGCCGAATTAATTTCTGTAGTTTTGCAACTTAAAAATAGTGGTAGTTGTGATGCGGATGGCATACAGATAAGGCCAGTGAAGCATGTTGTTCATGCGTTGGCGCCGGTACTAACCCATATATTTAATCTTTGTATAACCACAGGTGTATTTCCTAAACGTATGCAGATAGCAAAGGTGTCCGTCCTACATAAAAAAGGGAGTGTTAACGATATGGGAAACTATAGGCCAATTTCGATACTACCTGTGTTTTCGAAGATACTCGAGAAACTGCTTCATATAAGACTAATTAACTTTTCTAATAAGTATAACTTAATAACAGCCTCACAGTTTGGTTTCATAAAACAAAAGTCAACGGAATCTGCTCTGCTTGTTCAGAAAGAACACATACTTCAAAGCTTCGAGGAAAAGAAGATGGTTCTTGGTATCTTCGTAGACTTCACAAAGGCATTTGATTGCCTAAGTCATAAAATTTTAATTGAAAAACTAGACACTTACGGTATTCGAGGGCACGCACTGAAGTTAATAAAATCTTACCTGGCAGACCGAATGCAGTTTGTTTGTATTGATGGGCACTCCTCAACTACAAAACCAATCATTTCTGGTGTCCCACAAGGTAGTATATTGGGTCCTTTTCTTTTTAATATATTTGTAAATGATATTGTTAACATTACTTCCGAAACAAAATTTGTAAACTACGCCGACGACACCACTTTACTTTTCACTGCGGAAAACGTTGATCTGCTGTTCGAATCGGCAAACCTGGCGCTTTCTAAGTTGAACGTCTGGAGCCGCATCAATTCGTTACAAATAAACGTTGCAAAGACAAAAGCCGTGCTTTTTCGTCCCAAGAGCAAACTTGTAAATATCACCAAACATATCGTAATAAACTCAACCAGGATTGAGATCGTCAATGCTTTTAAACTGCTTGGTGTCACTTTTTCCGAGAATATGTCTTGGGACGATCACATCAATTACGTTACCTCGAAGTTATCACAGATAGTCGGTATCCTAAACCGCAACCGCTATGTACTGCCAACAAATGTTAAATTATTAATATATAACTCCTTGTTCTATTCCCATTTAATTTACGGCCACCTAGTCTGGGGTAAGACGACAATAGCAAATCTTGATAAAATAAATATTTTGCAAAAAAAAGCCGTGAGGGCAATCGCGAATGTAGATTTTGATCATCCTACAGCCAATCTATTCAAGAAGTTTCACATTATTAGTATATATTCTCTCTACGACTACAGACTTTCCACTACTCTAAAAGTGGAAGAAATTAGAAATACTAGCTTTCTAGTGAGCCTTGGACGCCTTTCCCAATATGTTCATCCTTATCCTACTCGTTCTGCGAGCTGTTGGGAGGTGGTCACTCCCAGAACGAACTACGGAACACAAATGCTCAGATACACTATTCCGAAATTATTAAATTTATTTCCCGAAAAAAACTTCGATTGGGAGAAATTATCTGTCAAGGATATTCGGACCCTTCTGTTTGATGTCGATCGTGTGCATAAATCCTTTTCTCCTGTTTTTTATTAGTTATATCGCGATTGTATCACGTTTCTTTTTTCTTTCTTCAAAAGCTAGAAAGTGACAAAAGTTAACAATCCTGTGAATCAGCCTTAACAAAGTGTGTGATGACGAAGGTCTTTTCTACTATTCTTTCTATAGCTTGTGCTCTGTATGTATTTTATACTGTGAGTATCACGCTGCTCTGCTGCTTGTAGGCGGTTGGGGACCTCGTCAAGCTGTTTTCTACAGCTTTTTGTCCCTGGTCGCCACCATAAAAATCTTATGGTGAAATAAACGATTATTATTATTATTATTATTATAATTTATCTCGAAGAGATAAGAGAGGGCAATCCGCCAGACGCTTTTTAGATCTTAATGGCATATTCGGTGGTCTGCGAATTCAACTCGTCGCACTTGAAATTTGTCGAAAGGAATCAATTGTTACACATATCAATAAATATCATCGACGGCTAAAAACGACAGTTTCTGACGTGACGCATCGAGTTATTGTCAATTTAAAAAAAAAAAAAAAATGTGGAAAATGACCACATTTTTAATTCGGAATAAAACTTTCCGTTCTCTTGATCAGCATTGTGGTCGAGAGAAAGCGGTTACGCACACTTTTATTATCTTTACACTCGTAAAAAAATAATGATAAATAAACCCTGACATAAATCCCTAAAAACTCAAAAAAAAAAAAACGGCAAAAAATAAACAGAAACGATGGTACACTTAAAAAAAATTGAAAGTTTACTTTTCTGCAGAACACGAAAGCAGCCACTTACGGCCAGCAACAGAAAGATCCCAGCACATGACACTGCTCAGAATATGTCTAGATAAAAGAAAAATGCCATGTGCGCCGAGACGTTGAACAAATGACACGCCTTGTTCATTGTCCCGTCGCACATCGCATTTTGCGAACCTAGTCGTATTCCAAGCTTCGCCATTGGCTGGGATCGTTCCAGTGTTCCTCATAATTGGCTGTCTTCGTGATATGCAGGAAAGCGAACACACAAGAGTGTACAGCATCAGCGAGGGAGCTGATCTGTCACTTCTTTTTCCGGGTCGCCACGTAGCCCGTCACGCCGATGGACTTGAGCACGTCGATGATGACGTTGTTGAGGAAGATGGCCAGGATCAGCGACTGAAACCAGGCGACGTTGGCCTCGTAGCCGTACCTGAGTCCCATCGGGACCATGAAGGCCGAAAGCACCAACGACACCACCAGGGCCACCAGCAGGGCGGCGTAGAGCAAGGGCGACGGCAGGATGCCTTCTTCGACGCGATCCTCGTACAGGGACGCTGACCTCTGGTCCTTGTCACCCGCGACGGCGCTCTCGTCGCGGTACTCGGGCACCTCGTAGGCGATCTTTATTTCGGGGTTCCTGGTGTACTCGGTGTACTTGGTGGTGGTCAAGATGCGGGCCGACTTGGATGCGTCGGCTTGGCTGTCCCGCGACGTGAGGCGAACTTTTTTCGGAGGCATCTGCTTCGAGAACCTGTACGTCAAGGCGCGGGAGATGGTACCGATCGGTCTTCAACGAAGGACGTCAAAGTGACGATGACGTCCGCGAACAATGGCTTGAACACTACGCAGACGCTATTGAGAAATCAAGAAACATATCTAACTTTGAAAGCTCAACTGTTTTGCCTGTAACGCGTCTTCGACTGGCGCCTTTGCCCTCCTATCTCGCCCGTACATCGAAAGCGGTCCAGAAGTGGTAGCAGATGGCGTCACAGGATCTGACGTGTCATATAGTCGTATGTCGCGATCTCGGCAGTCTGTCGTAGACATGCTGCTCAAAAAGTGAAAGCGTTTACAACTCCCTGTAATGACGAATTGGAGCGCAGCTCTTGAGGAGGAGGAGGGAAGGGTACTGGGGGGTGGTTCACGTGACCTTGGGGGGGTCACGTGACGATGCCGATGACGTCATCAGTGACGTCACTGATGACGTCATCAGTGACGATAGCGATGCGGATACCGATGACATCATCAGTGATGATGACGATGCGGATGCCGGTGACGTCATCAGTGACGATGACATCATCGCATCATCAGTGATGATGCAGATGACGGTGACGTCATCAGTGACGTCACTGATGACGTCATCAGTGACGATGCCGTCATCGGGGGGGGGGAGGGGGTCACGTGACCTCGAGGGAGGGGTTTACGTGACCCTGAGGGAGGTCACGTGACCTCGGGGCGGTCACGTGACCTCGAGGGGGTCACGGGACTTGGGGAGTCACGCGACTTTGGATGTCACGTGATCTTGGGGGTCACGTAACCTTGGGGTGACCTTGGGGGGTCACGTGACCTTGGAATGACCTTGGTGGTCACGTGACCATGCAGGTGACCTTGGGGGTCACGTGACCTTGGGGTGACCTTGGCCACGCCGACGCCGCTCAAGCCGGGAACGGGCCCCTAAGAGCTGCGCTCTAAAAGGCGAGCGGACGCGGGGGTTCCTGTCGTCGCGGCGTTCTATCTTGTGTCTGGGCTAGTTTTTCGACTGCTTGACACTTTTTATAAAGCCATTATTGACGGGAATTAAGGGACCACTTTCGAGGACACGGTAAACGCTCCAGTCGGAGACGCACTCCACGCGCCACAACCGAACACGTCGCAGCCTCTATCGAGAAATCTAGAAACATGCCCAACTTTCGGGGCTGTACTTATATGCAGAGTCAAAGTTTGTCTGCTCCTTGCACAGGGGTTGCGATGATGTCAGAACGCCGAGCCCTTATTGCCTGATTGAAAAAAAAAGTGGGTAGCCCTCAAGGCATTCCAGGTCTACCCACTATCCTTCCAATCAAAACCAATCAGAACTCGTCGTCATTCTGACGTCCCCCCTGCGCAAGAGGCAAACGACTTGATCTCCAAATATAGTGCCGTAGTCACTGTTAAGATGAGAACGGAAGGTCGTCTCGATTCGAATGCCCGGCCTGAGCATGCGCTCTTTGCCTTCTGTCGTGCTTTGGTTGCGCGTGGACGCTCGAGGCTCACGAGGCGTCGAAGCGTTATCGAAGGTAACAAGCTTTCGCTTCCTATGTTTCCTTCAGTTGTCCCGCTAAAGGCGGGACGACTGACCTCCCTGTCATTCTTAAACTTTCAGCGACTATTGTGACGATGTTAGAGAAGGAAAGGCACAGGTCTTGTTTTCTATGCGATCTTGGCTGTACCCCTTACTGTGGCGTTTCATTTCTCATTGAAGTAAGCCACAGGTTAAAACTGTCCAACAACCGCCCGCTATTGAATGGACCAAGTGCGAATCCTAAAAAAGGACTATAGTTCCTGAAGCGTACTATACGGCGTGAAAATAAATACACCCGAGTTGATTATATTGGCAGGATATACATTTTGGACCGCATGCAAAGAACACTGAGGCCAACGCGGAAGGCCCCATGTTGATACATAGGCCCCATGTTCCGCCACAATATCAGCAGTGCCGTGTAGGACGTACAGCTTGCTGGTGGGATATACATTCAAACTAGGAGCTTCAACTCAATTTTGCACGAAACAACGGCGACGCACTTTACGGCCAGTGTTAGGTTGCATATCCAGAGAACGTTAATTAGTAGGAAACTCTCGAATGGAATAATTTTAGGTTCTTACAAACTTCCCCAGTTCCAGCCCATGCATCTCTTTTGCGCCTCTTTCGCTGGCACAGGAGTTACAAAAAATGTTAGTTGATAACTAAGCTGTCGTTCACAGTATCTGCATGAGTGTAACAAATAAAACACTCACGTAAAGATTATTTGTAGGATGACCCCGGCGATGAACACGATGATCGCTGTTAGACAGGCAACTTGGATGATTTTGATCCAGCTGATGGGTACGGTGCGGGTAGAGGGGTTAAAGCCCTGAAACAGCATCACCAGGAACATGCTGATGACTCCGAGGAACAGTATGGTGACCAGCCGGTGAATCCGTGAGAAACGACTGCCGCTGGGCCACGCGAACACGCTGAACAGCAGGTGACACAGTCGCAGCATCCTGCAAGCGGCGGCCGGGATCGCCCACTAATCAGCACCTCGTGAAAATGAGAGTACTGGCCCCATTGTTTGCACTTCAGTGTGCCCACATGTGGGGAAGTGTTTTGTGCGCCATGACGCTCAGGTTGCGGTACCAGAGCTCACAGTTCATGAAGACCTTTTGCATGCTGTTTCTGTACCATCAAACAATCTATACGCCACCTTCAGTGCCGAGCGTAAGTTCGTCTGCTTCTTTTGCGGGAGTTGTGGTGACGTGAGAACGCCGAACTCTGACTGGCTCTGAATGAAGGATAGTGGGTAGACCTGAAGTCAGCTTGCTTCGAGGTCTACCCACGATCCTTCAATCAGAGTCAATCAGAGCTCAGCGTTCTGATGTCACCGCAACCCCTGCAAAAGAAGCAGACGAACTGGCGTCCCGCAGCCTGTGATCTCTAAACGTCAAACAACATGACATCCGCACTTCCAGACTGTGCTTGTGCAATCGACGCCCTCCAGGCACGAGTGTGGTTAAGCAGTGTATCATCAAGCTTTGACAAGAGGCGTGTCGAAGTTAAGCCGAGCTTCTAGAGCATGACCTATATAATTTTCATTTCCTCACTTCAGCAATCGCAGATGGCTCTCCAGACAAACTTGTCGCGTGACATTTGCTACGCTGTTGATGAGTGCTGGCATACCTCATAAAATTTAGTTTGAAGATGATGAACGTTTTCCCGTGGCCTTCCACAAACGGCAGTATGTCGGCGCGGTCCTGTTCCTGGAACCGTAGCCACTTGTCCACGACGAAAAGGAACTTCTCCGGGGTTCCCTCGTGCACCACGTCAATCTTTTTCAGATGCCTGCAACCATGCCAAGTAGGGATGTCGCTGTAGATATCGCTAACTAGTGCCTGCTAGAATAAGAGGGCCAGGATTCAGGAAATAGTTTTCAGCTCTCCTGTTGCCTTCTTCTGCATTAAAATATACAAGGACCATCGGGAGGCTTTGGCTGGTTCTTCCATGCGAAGGTCATATGAAGCATATACTTCGATGAAGTATATAGTCCAGACGCAGACGACGTCACGAGCTCACAAGACCAATTAAATAGCACGGCAAGCATAAGTCACTGGTTCTTCTGTGTATGTACATGATTGGTACGGCGATGATTGAACACGTGCGACACCACGAATACCATGAAGTTGCACTTTTAACGTGTTTTAAATGGTCCCATCGGCTTGTAGAGTCGACCTTGTCTTGACTTTACGTGAAACGAAGTATAGTGTCTTGAGTCTTGACTACGCGTGCCCGCTCACACACTGGACATCGTTAAAAAGTTCACGACAGAGGCAGGACCCCCAACTGATGCATCTCTTCTCTCTAAATTTAAGGCCGGTTCAGAATGTTTTGACTGCTTACGACAGGAAAGGCTGAAAACAGGCATTTAAGCCTTACGTAACGGCTTGCGACTGAAGTTCGGAGTTTTCGGTGTTTATTTTTGTTGTTTTTTTAATTCTGAGGCTTTTTTTGTGTGTTTTATTTTTTCCTGTAGACTCTGTGTTTCTTCGTGTAAATTGGTTAAGTTATAGCCAATTTACACAAAAAACACCGAATCTATAAAAAAAATTAACCCCGAAGGGCAGAGAAGAAAAAAAAACAACAACATAATTCGAAAAAAAAATTGCGGTGGCTTAGCTCGGCTATGCCAGGATACACGTAGCGTGAGCTTGTGCGCACACAATGAGGCGCTATCAAGCGGCTCCGGTGCAGCGTCAGACTTGGCTACTGCGCAACGGAGGCGCACAGCTGGGCACGCGGCGGCGCCAGTGCGTCTGCCGCGGCTATGTTGTCACTCCCGTGGAATGCGGAGACCGGCGAGGCGGGCGCGGTGGCGGCGGAGCGCGCGGTGGCGGCTTCGCGTGGCTCTCATGAGCCGTCCTCATTATGCGAACCGTGCTATTTACGCAAAGCGCAGGCGCCATGCGCCGCGCGCTCCGCATAAAAAACAGTTAAATAAAATAAAATAAAAACAGGACACGCTTGTCAAAAAAATAATGTTTACGCGAAAAAAAAATATTTTTAGAGCAATGTTGGCGGCGAGAGACGCGATTTAGTCGGTAATCACGTCCTTTCCACTTGTTCTCTCTCTGGGCATTTTGGGCGTGTGGAGGAGAGGTGGATGGGCTTGGCCATCACGTTGAGGCGGAGAGAGGGTATGACCACCTCGTTGAGGTGGAATGAGTGTATCACCATTTTGTGACGTCATAGACTGCGCGCAGATTTTAAAGTAAGTCTCGCGCCGTCAATATTTCTCTAAAAAAATTGTCGCCTAAAATTCTTTTTTCGACCCGCGTGTCCCAACCAGACTGTTTTAAAATTCTCTTTTTCTTTTCAGTGACTCGTCAAGTCGGTCAAGTTCAGTGTCTTGTCGAAGTCGGTCGTAGTCGAACGCAAGTGTGCGAACGAGCCTTAAGAGTTGTTGATGACCATAATGAATGCGTTCAACCGTTTTCCGAATGGCCAGTTCGTCTGGGCACGCATCGTGCTAGCCGATGTCCATATTTTGAGTTCGTGTCAGCGGATGTCCAAATGTGATTTATATTATATATATATTATCTGTCCTTAGCGCTATTTATGTGTATTTAGTACTATCATAGCATGGATCTCTTCTATGCGTTTCTTTTTGTACTCGGGCGTTGAATATGATATTATTTAAAAGTATACCATTTATTATCTTTCTTTGTGCACCATTTCGTGCATTTACCTTCAGATTTATTACATGAGCACACAGTCCTTTTTGGCACATCCCGCGACCCGGTGTTTCACGCTGCCAAACAGCGAACAAAAAAGCACGTTTCCGCAGTCTTTGCACCTGGCGTATTTCCGAGTATGGGGGGGGGTCCTCCTGTGTCGGTCTGAAGCGGTTATGTGAACTTCATACAGTCAAATTTATTGATGATGATAAAAATATATTTAATTACTGCCTGAAGACTTGACAATATAAATAAAGGTCCGATCATCTTAAAAATTTACATCATAAGTAAATGCACCCCCGTATTTCCTGAAAGATGCTCTGCAAATCTTGATGGCGTTTTTATCCTCGATAAAAACGCCGGAAAGTGACCGGCGTTGTTGTAAGAAATTTGGGAGGGCCTTAAACGAATTTTTGATATTGAAGCTCATTTAAATAACTATGGGTTTCTGACATATATTTAATTTCTGAAACTTACAGAAGTCTGTTATTGTCTCTTTTATGTGATGAACAACAATTTGATGTGTCTGTGGGCTGGACAAAAAAAAAATTACACACAGGCGCGTGGCGAACAATGAGGATTGCGCGCGCAGACCGTCAGAAGCTGATTAGTTAAGTATACTGCAATGTCGAGTAGAGTATGAAATACTAGTTTGTTCTATTTAACAAAAATCACCAATTAGCAAGGGTGATGTTTATCTGGAAATTGAATTGACCGGCCATGTTGTCAAAAACAAAACCTCACACCCCAAGCTATGCCAAAAAGGTTTACTTGGGCACGCGCTATTTCGGGCCAGATTTGATTAGAGTACGAAGGGGCGTATAGATTAGACTGTACCCTTTTCTGATCGCCCTTTTCTACATGATTATTCGCCTGCATCACGTTGCTGAGAGGTGCCCATTCCATGATTTTATGCGCTGTAATTGCACACCTAGGATTCAACTTCTAATACTGTGAGTCAAAGTTGCACTAATCACGGCACTTTTAGGCGACCTACCGGACGGATAACCTTTCGATTCAGGTACAGTATATGCCACTGAGAGAAACAAATAGATGTTGATTCGTATAACCACGACGTTTTGTATGTCAATCTAGCTTTTCTTTTGACTGTTCTGTCGAAATTAAATCACTCAATCTTTTTATATCTTTTTATTTTTGGTACCTGAAAATAGAAGTGGATTGTACGAATGTCAATAAAAGTATATAGTTACTCGTTTCACGCTTGAAATAGTGTCTACGCGGACTGCAAGTTCGTCTGCTTCTTGCGAAGGGGTTGCGATGATGTCAGAACACCCAACTCTCATTGGCTGATCGAAAAAAAAAAATAGTGGGTAGACCTCGAGGCATCTAGCATTGAGGTCTAACCCCTATCCTTTCAGTCAAAGCCAATCAGATCTTGGCGCTGTTCTGACGTCGCCGCAACTCTCGCGCAAGAACTGAACCGAAAGCCCTGCACCCGAACCCGACCCGAACCGATATTTTCATTTCGACACTCTGGGCTAAAAACACACCAGTCGGAAGCTCTTTCTTCAGACAGCGTAGCCATATACCCCAAGCACGCGTGTGCCGACAAGCGCACCAGCTGGGTCTGGTCCCTTCGCTGTCCGAGAAGATGCTGAGCACGATGATGTTGCCCAGCGTCTGGGCGGTGGTGAGCAGCAGGCCGTTGCTGCTTCCGGACAGCAGGAAGTACGGGTTGCACCGGGGGTCCCGCAGGGTGAAGCGGCCAGACGTGCCTTCGGTGCCGTGCAGCTCCACCTGGATCTTGGCCGTGGTCTCGGCGTACTAGGAGCGTCCCCAACACGGGCCCCCGTTCCGTCAATAAAAGCTGGTACGTGCATTTGTGTTTTGAGAGCGATGGACCGCGTGCCGCAACCTCTAGTAGTATAGTAGAAGACGTTGATTACGAGCAATTTGACTCTTTGGCGGGGATATGAGATGGGAGGTTGTAACCGCTTAGAGAACGCAGTGGCGCCATCTATTTGGTAGCCATGGAACGTTTTCCGTTCTGCGTGTATTTTACTCATCGTTCTTTCAGGGTGTGCTTGGAATGATCCTATGTTATAAACGATCATTTCTTATTGATAGTGCGTAGATGGGATCTCGCAAATGGTGCAAAGCATTCAGTCTAGTTGTACGCTGATCGAAAACGATGCCGACAGATGGCGCCTGTGTACGTTTTCTCGTCGTAAGCGGTTGCCGCGGTCGATCAAACGCAAATGTGTGAAACATCTATGGCCGCTTGCACTGTCTCCCATGACGTTAGGAGTAGACACGTTTTCCAACATATCATATTCGTATTAACATGCGCTTTATGAATAGGGGTCCGTGTTTTTGGTAAATACCGGTAAACCCCGATAAATAACCCCGGAAAGAATTTTCTCAATATCGGAATAAAAAAAAAAAAAAAAAAAAAAAAAACGAATTGCTTTTTAATACGGAAGTACCCGGAAAAGAAATATGCTGAATAGTTTTTGTGATTCTGAACACAAATCGTACAATCTGTCCTTGAGGTCGCTTTTTTCTTTGGGAACCACATCCTTTACCCAGGGCCCCCGTCTTCTCCTGTAGTCGGTAGCGGGATGACGTGTTTTTTTTTTTTTTTTTTTCTCTCAAGAATTTACGGTCACGGGGGTAAGTTCCTTGGACCCTGAAAGGGGTCACAAATTTATAAATATGCAGTCGTTTTATACCATTAGTCCCAATAAATCTCGATTTTTTTTTTGCCCGGAGCTGAAAATAAACACCATAAAACACCGATTCTGGAAACAAATATAATTAACCCCAAAAGAACACCCCCCGAATTTGAAGAAAAATAAACCCGAAAACACAGAATTTTTATGGAGAGAATTTCGTGTTAGGTAAATTCCGATAAACACCGAAGATTTACTGTCCGCGAGGATTCTTCATGCTTCAGAACCACGCATTTTACCTCGCTTCTTTTTCTTATCGGGGTGGAGACATTTCAAAGTATGCGGGTACGCGGGTCACTGATATGTTCCCCGGAGGCTGGGGAATTCGATGGCCGTCTTCAGTTTCCTTCAACGTAAGCCCCGCTAAACCCCGTTTTTTCTCCCGACACTAATGATAGCGAAAAAACCCGAATCTGTAGGAAAAGGTACCCCCTCCCTCCCGCTTAAAAAAAACAACAACAAAAAAACACACACATAAAAAAACCCTAAAACACGAAACCTTAATTATGAATAACGGTTAACAATTAGTTCAGATGTTTTGCCATGCTGTAATTGTGGGTTTTTCTTCTATATTCTATCGGGTGGAAGGCTGTCGCGAACGCATCTGGTTTGATCTACAGCCAGCTCGGCCGATGACAGGCGGGTGTCATACAGCCGCATTTAAGATTAAACAAAATGGCGCCGCCGCGCTCTAGTATTCTTTTATCGGGAGAATCGTTAAGTTTGGTTGGTTGCACTCGAACACTTACTGTGCAGGTGCAGTTAGAAATCGCTCATTATCACATTAGAAAACTAACATGATTTCTAAATCATATGGTGCAAACATGGCACGGTCGCTACTGACCTGGACGTAGCTTGTCTGGAATATAAGGATGTAGACTTCTTTGTTTCCAGCTTTGTTTTCGGGGGCTACAGCCGTTGCACTCTAAAGAAAGGCCAAAAAGAAGTATGCATGCGCGCACTGGACTAAATAGGGCACCGGTTTCGTACAAAAAGGTACACACATACAGCGATACACCAGAAATACATGATCACAGGTATTATGCAGGTTTCGCGCACTGCTAAACTGGTTTCAAACTAAAACAGCTAGCGGGTTATTTATTGGGGTGCCCTAATGCGAGTTGGTGCCACTCCCGTTTTCGTGCATACTGTGACGCGCATCGTAACTAACCCATTTGAGCCTTTACAGTCACCGCTGTAATTGCGCCTAGTAACACCCACTTTTGTGCATATATCCACTCTTTACAATTGCTCAATCACACACAACACAACCTCCTGGTCACTGGGGTATTTAGGAAAGGGAAGCACACTGCACACATGAGTCAACGTCCTAAATCAAGACAGGTGCCGTTACGAGTAGCTGGTTGCTTTACATCTATAGCACTCGCAAATCGAGTTCTTCGGGTAAGAATGTGTCCCCCGTCAACCGCAAAAGAAGACACTGCCGCTTGGCAAGAGGCAACTACGCGCAAACGAAGTTTTTCTGCCTGGCACAACGCAGTGAACGCAGCTGAGAACTTCCTGAACAGATAGCGCTATAAAGGTAAATAATCGAAAGGCCCATCCAACGCCGCAGATTGACAACTGGTTGATCGAAGGCGCTTACCGTCTGCTCGTCTATCTCGGCTATCTTCATGGTCCAGTAGAAGAGGACGACAAAGTTGACCCAGAGGGCGGCCAGCAGAATCGGGATGAGGTGCTCGATGAAGTAGAAGTTGAGCCGCTTGCCGTCCTTCTTGCCCCCCTTTTCCGAAGACACGTTAACCAGGGGCTTGAGGTTGGTCGTAAAATCGACGGGGTGAGAGCGGGCTGCAATGGCCGCCTCACCTCCACCCGTCTCCTGGCACTCGCACATGATTTCTCCCAGCGTGCTCACGTTTGCCATCTGCAAAGGAATGCCGCGCCAGGGTCCCAATCGCACGTGGCCAGGTCATGTTACGGCGATGCCCAACACGGTGCATGTTATATATACAGGGTGTTATTTTTTATTCTTGCGGATTTCTTAAAAAAAAAAAAGCCATAAAAGCTACACTTATAATCTTTGCGATAAGTCAGTTTATTAATTAAAGTTCACTAAACTTTTTAATCAGTGAGAATAGACATATGGTTCCAATTAAAAACGTGCTGAGCGTTATCGAAAACCACTAAATCAGTCATTTTCAGGAAGACTTTCAGCGCGTGAGAAGCCGTAGTAACGCACTATAGTTCCCACTCGTAGAGCAGGTACAAGGCTAGCGGTTTCGGTAAGGCCCCCACGCAATTTTTCCGTCTCTTATCTAGCCCCAGCCTTGTATAGTCTGTGCAGTTCTACGCGCGTCTGACATTTCTTGAACCTGATGGGCGTTCTTTTTTCCGTATACATTTCGAGCCACCGATTTTCTTCGGCAAAAACAAGCAGAAATAAACAACCACCAGCATAGTGCTATCACGTCATATGCAAGCCACGCATTAATCGCAAATATATTACCGCAATGGCAATGAATAGTCTGTTCCTTCATTGTTTAGGATGGTTTTACAACATTGGTGAGCAAATGCTCAGAAGCCTATGGATTGTCTTTGAATGTCCCCGACGCTGTGTTAGACTCAGAGTGCACTTTATCAAGAGAGCAGCCATAGCAAGAGGCACTGACCACGCAACCTTCAGAAGAGAAGTCTCCACCGCTCTTGGCGACGCAGCTCCAGTGCTCAGCCGTGACCGAATACCAGATCTTCATGTCGCTGCGATGCCAAAACGGGTACTTGATGTTATTTAGGCCCAGGGATTTGACCGAATCCTCGACGAGTGGCACAAACGTCACATAGGCATCGTCGCCTCCTTTGACTTTGTACACCTCAGGTAGGATGACCATGAAGGTTGCCAAAGGATGCAGGATGATCATCTTGTCCTGCGTCAGGTCTTTGGTCTCGGGCTCCTTGTCCTTCTGGAAGAAGGCCTGCAAATCGAGATACAATGATGCTAAAAAAGAAGAAAAATCAAGGCACCTTTTTATGAAAACAATTTGTGTCTGACAGGCGTCTATTGGAAGGCTCAAGAGGATATATCTAGCTTCCGCAGGGTTAGCAGTGTACTTCTTTTGGAAGATTCATTCAACTTTTCAATAGATTGCTGGAAGAAAATATAATTGAAAAGTATTAAACTTTTTCAAGTAACCCCTCCGTGAAGTGCCAGCGGCCTTCAGGGACTATCCTGAGAATACCGTTTAAAGTGCTCTAGTCGTTTCAGGCCTTTGAGGTTCAGTTGACCCAAGAGAAGCTTTCCGTATTCCCACAAACAAGCATAAAAACACAAAGCCAGTGCTTTTCAGTTTTTCATCAAGGTCCCCATTGCTACTCATCACACCGAACATTATTCGGTTGTGTTTCATCGTCCCATTCCGCCCGGCAAACAAACAATGATATAATGATACGGTCATGTTTAAACAGAAGAGAGTTTGCTCACCATGAAGAAGTATTTGATGAACTCAGGGTTCAGCTTCACCACCACGCTACCCTCTTCCATGGGAACTTTGAACTTGACAATGAGCATAACGCTGGCCTTCAACTGGCTCGTTGTGTCCTCGAAGTTAGCATCTAGAGCGGGCATGAGCCGGACATTACTGAAAACGGAAAGCCTCGCCGATACGGCGCAGTTTAGGCGCCCTAACAATTTTATATCAGAATGACACAGGTCGCGCAAGCTGTGTCCCATTTATACGTTGTCATTCACATTTTGATGCGCGCACACCAGCTTTACCCCTGATCGAGCGAACTCAAAGCGCATGCGCGGCAAATGGTTGAAAAGGAACCTGCTGGAAGTATCGGAGTAGAGTCCATATACCTCTAAGCTTCTATTCTTCCTGAGGTTTCAAAGTCACTGGATTAAGAAACTCGCCTCTTGCTTCGTGATTCGTTCGTCGGCATTGTTATTAGCTAAAGTCGCGATTTGATTGGTTGCGGAGCCATAATGAGATGCTCGGACTGTCAGTGACTACAGTATAGCTATTTCCTTTATGCCCCAAGCCCTACTAGAGCGACAAACAGAAGCAAACGACAGCGACAAGCCTCAACCCGAGTCTTTCGCGATTTGACAGGCTCTGTAGAATAAAGAAGGATATGCTCCAACACGATCATCATTCACGCGAAGATACCTTTGGCAGGATTGCAATCACTCGTGCTCACTTCACGAGCTGCGATCGACTCAACGCCTGCCAAAGCTGTACCATCGCGAGCATGCTGCATGTGTTGGAGGCTTGTCGCTGTCGTTTGTTTCTGTTCGTCGCTCTAGTCGGCCATTACAAGTTCTTCCTACCACCACTGTCTGATTTGTTTGTGCATAAATGTGCTTTGTATGAAGCCCGCAAATAAAAGAATACCGTGACCTCTGTAGCTCTGCTTCCCTTCCCTGCCTCGTACCACAACGCAAATCTAAAAAAAACAAAAAAGAAACATGTATATATATATATATATATACATATGCCAGTTCGCTTCTTTTCAGAACACGAAGAGAATAACGCGCGATGGAAGAGAGGAGGGGGGGGGGGGGGTGAGAGGGGATGCGTGGTTGACTAGCGAAACCTCGCGCTGCTGAGCAGGACCCAGGGTTCAATCCCACCCCTGACCGTCTCGATTTGGATCAGCATCGTACCCCAAACTAGCGGTAGTACTGCACTAGCTAAATTTCTCATCTACAGCTAAGACACCAGACGCCCTTTGGGGCTGGCTAGCTTTCGACTGTCTAAATATACCTGCTGCGCAATTATTATTATTAATCGCGACGAACAATAGAAGGATCCCAGTGAATCACGAAGCTCAAAATACTAGAAAAAAAACAAAAACAAAAAAAAAAAAACCCGGCATTTTGATCAGGGACAATACCCGAGTGAAATGTCACGCCTGTTCTCCCTGCGCACATCGCCTTTTTTATGTGCAATAGACCAATCTCACCAAGCGTTCGACGCATGCGTGATGCCGCCATAACTTTAGTTCACAGAAAACAGGCGGCCGTGCACGAGACGGCTTGTGCCGTCTCACGCTCTGCACGCACAGAGCTCCAGCGAAGTCGTTACACGAGCGAAAAGACTAAAACTCCCAGGATGCGTCGCGGCAGCGATGGCTTGGCCGAACTAGCTGGTGAGACAGGCCTGTTGCATTCTGAGCTTCGTAATTCACTGAGATCCTTAAGGCTGGTTGACACATTTGCAAAGGTTGCGTTCGCATGCAACTGAAACGACCGTAACAACCAAAACACAGCAACAACAGTGACTCATGAAATGTTTTGCGAAGGTACCCCTTGCATCGCTTGCCATGCTGTGTACGGCGAACACTTGTCCGGGTAACTTTGTCGTTACGGTCGTTTCGGTTGCATGCGAACACGACCAACGTAGATGTGTGAACCAGCCTTTATATTGTTAGCCATGATGGGCTGTGTTTGTGTTCTGCGGGAAAGTGAACATGCTTTATTTTCGAGTGTACCCCAAAGCTTAATGAAGACGTTGTGTATCAACCAGTCAGTCTTTTTGTACTTTTGTTTCCTTTACAGTTAAAAGCGCGCTTCTAGAAGTCCCAAAAGACGCGCACTCACTGTCCGGAGCCAGCGCCACCTGGAGCGTGCGAGGGTGGTCCGGTGTGCCGCGAATGCGCATGCCCGTTGCGTCGTCACGGATATACGGTTTCACCACGTCCGTCGAGACGAACTTCAAGCCGGAGCCGCAGTGGAACGGATTCTTTCTGTACACCGTCACCTGCACCAGGGCCCGGACAACTCGATCAGAACGCCGAGCTCGGTGGCATCATACGAGGCCAACACATTAGAGCCACCGATACTCAAAATTGGCTCTCACTTAGATTGCGTTGCACAGATGACAAATAAGTTCTATTAAACAACACGACTGTTGGTAGACAAAGCCTAGATTAGGTCAGATCTCTACGGCCCTTTGATAGATTCATAAGAATTAACAGTTGGTCTAGCTAAGTAAACATGGCAAACACGTCGGTAAGTTGTTATCGTTTGCGTGTTTAGCCGTACAGCTCAAACGCGAGGAAGTCCGTCTACGGAACATGCACGCACGTACCACCACGGAGAGGGTCTTGGAGAATCCGTAGAGTGCCTCGTCGTACACGAGCATGAGACGGGGCTTGACGTAGTAGCGCTGCCTCTTGCGGAGCGCCTCGACGCCCACCTTGGAGTGCCAGAGGGACACGCCGTCACTAAGGAAGGAGGCAGGGCCCTCGACGCCCCGCTGGGTCTGCATCACCAGCTCCACGGTGTCGTCCATCACTGACAAGGCGCTCGTCGACAGCTTGCACAGTTGCTAAGCACCGAGCGATAGAACGGTCAGCTCCATGTGATGTCGTACCATAGTTGTACCCATGTGGTGTCGGAAAAGGGGAAAACAAAAAGGGGGGGGGGGGGGGAGGGGTGTTGCCTCCAACATATAACAATAATGTAAATAATACAAGACAAGGGCAAAGCCCCCCCCCCCCCCCCCTCCCCCTGTCGTTTTACCGGGTGTTTGGAAGAAAACAGAACAGTCTCATTCCCACGACACCAATGAACTACGCATCGCCAAACGGTCAGTTTTTCCCCAAATATAGCGCTAATGGTCCGAGTCAGGCGCCAATATTTCAGAGCCTAACCCTTATATGATTCGGAAGTTACGAGGGATTTTCTAAAACTTTCGACCAGAATAAAGGGGCGCGGTTTCCCGGTAGCGTTCGCCATTCATCTTCATGTATTCCCGCGGCTGGTCAGTACAATTCACGCAACCTTAATTTTATTGAGGTCACTCCAACAACGCCAGAGTGTTTTGTGAAGTTGCTGCAATCTGACACCTACCTCCCTCGTTTCCACACTGCCCCTGTAGGCCAGGATGAGCGATTGGCCTTTCAGCACCGATCTGAAAAAGAGCGTCAACGAGTCAACAAACGTTTTGGGTCGGGGCCTCCTCAGAGTCAAGTCACGGCCACTCCGTTCTGGTTCCCGCTTATCACCCTATCAGATGCGCGTCTGCTGCTTTAAACACCGTGGAGCACTCTTCGAGGAGGCTTTCACTTCTGGGATATCTTTTTAAACACTTCGAACGTTATTGGTGGTGTGTGCTCGTTAATACACATATTTCGGTTAACAAAGAAGACACTGAGCGTTTTCTTAAAAACTAAACACACATTTTGTATACACCAACTCATGTTTAGAAAGAAACCGGAGCGCCCCTAGCGGACGCCACCGACGCCGCGCATGCGCGAGGGGGGTGTGGGCAAGAAGCTCGCCGTCGCCCATAAACAAACCATTCGAATGGGATGTTGTCGGCGTCGGTGTGAGTCCCCGCGCTCTTTTTTGCGTTGGAATTGTTGATTCTACGTCTTCCTGGCAATGTCTGACTACTTGAGCGGCCTCAGCGAAATTTACGGGGCTCGTTACACCGCAAAACGCGGCGCGAATAATGTAACAAGCGGCGATTCATTCCGCGTGCACGCCGCAGAATGGACGCTGAAGCCTGATTCACATGGTGAGGTTCTGCTCACTATTTTTCAGTCATGACGTCGTTCGGGCTGCAAAAGCCTGAACCGTAGCTGAAATGTCGACGTCGATACTGAAAATCGCAAGCAGAATCGGACCGAGTGAATCGGGCATAACAAGTCGGTGATGGCCACTGGTAGCAATGATCAACATCTCCTTATATCTACTGTTTACACCGAGCCTACTTACCGAAGCAACCTTCAAACTTAAACGTCTTTTGAGGTCTGCACTTCTTATCGCAACTACCAGGTAAACGTTTGGTCTACAGGCCGCTGTCGTTTGAACGAGCAGACGACAGCTCGAACGATAAGGCGGCCGTTTGAACTTGATGACGCACTGAATGTAGTCCACAGGTGGTCCGTGCAACTTGACGGTTTTCCCGCGTTCATGTTGGAACAAAACAAATAAATCTGACGACCACAAGTATCCGTGAATTCAAATCAAGGTGCTTTCCGCCCAAGCAATCATGGTCCAACGGATTCTGTTTTTCCTTTTTTACGGCCCCTGTTCACGTTCTCGGACCAACCGAACAGGCAGAAAACGCATGGAAACTGATCTTCAAACTTTTCCCGACTCTTTTGGTAACTGATCTTCATACCTTTCCCGATTCTTTTGGTACAGCCCCAGTCGCGGCGTTTTGACGAGAAGGCAGGTTTTTGTCCGGTTTCTTTCAAAGTAACACAGGAATGCACGTGCCCCATGGCGGCTTCCACCCACAGCCCAAGACCGGAAGTGTGCCCGACGCACAACCACCGCGCCGTGACGTAACATAGATGAGTTCGTGTATAGTCGTGTGCAGTAGTTTCAAGAAAGAGTCCCTACGCATGCAATACATTGACACTGGAACCCCTAAATCGTCCGACGTTTACGCGGAAAGATATATGTGTTCCATCTTTCTGTAAAGTGCACAGCTGCTCGTTGTGTGCTTTATTTATTTTACATTGTTACTGTTAGTGTTGAAAGAAAGAAAAAAGATAAAGGTCGGAACGGTATGGCTGCTCTTGGTGCTCTTCCAGTCGCTCTCGCGACGTCAGCCGTGCCGGAGCCATACGCGTACACGGTTTAGGAGTTTCATGCTGTATACGTTTACGGGAAGATGCGCAGCCTTAGGTTCATGGAACGCGGCCACGTACACGAGTGTGGCTCTTCTCTGCCAGACCTCTTGTTTCTAACGGTCTTTGACTTCATGTCAGGGAGTGTGATCGGACCAGCGTCGTACCTGATGACGCCAGGCATATCTCGCAGTGCGCGCCTCGTCTTGGTCGGAAGCTTGCTGAGCACTTCCACGGATTTGTGCAGCGTCTCGACGGCTGCTTCCTGCGAAGCATACATAGGTCTCACTGCATCGGCTACGAACGCTGTTCTTGCTTCTGGCAGCACGGACATTAAATACGTCGGCGTCGGCGTCAGCGTCGCCGTCGCCGTTGGCGTCGGCGTAACCGCGCGGTGCATTATGGGAAATGTCCCATAATGAACCGCGCGGGACTCTTGTGACGTTACGAGTGTCATGATTTGGGAAAAGAAAACGAAGAAAGAGAAGGAAAAAAAAAAAAAAAAAGAAGAGCGGTATCGCGGGTGCGAAGGGATTCGAAGCTGGACCAAGAGCCGCGACGGTTGGCTGCTCGAATGGTGCGCTACCCGGCTCCGTCCCGGCGTCAGTGTGGTCGACGTAACCGGCTCCGTCCCGGCTCCAACCCGCTGAGACTCAACGCGCCTGGCTCCGTCCAGGCTGCAGGGAAGCTGAACTTCAACGTAACCGGGTTCGTCCCGGCTTCAGCACGGTGACCAGCAGCGCAACCGGCTCCGTCCCGGGATCAAGACACCCGGACCCGAGATAACCAGACCCCTCACGACATCGCGGCACGCTCTACTTCACCAACGGTCAAGGGGGCGAACCATCAAAGGCACCAGCGGCCCGGGCTACGACCCCAGGGGTGACTATACTGCCTACCGAACGTGCTTGGACGGTCGAATGGTTTCTTTTCTTTTGCCTTTCTAACGTTGCCTCTTTTTTTTTTTATTTTTACTTCCTGACTTGAATATATATATATATATATTTGTTTTTTTTTCTCATGCATTTGTCTTAGTCTCCCGATCCTTCCTCTCACCACCCCGGACGAACCTGACAATTTGGCGAGCCTGCCAGGATAGCTGGCCCATTACATCATAGTCATATCTTTTTCCGGAGGGTGAGAAGGGTGAGGGAGATTTGGGTGGTATTTCAACGATGGAAACTGACAAGTTAATCGCGGTAGCGGAAGAATTAGGCTATTCCAGGGCAGATTTGAAGAAGTGGGTGGATGAGGAGAAAGCCCGAATAAGAGCAGAAAGAGCTGAGGAGCGCGAGCACTCGAGGTTAGAACGGGAGGCTGCTGACAGAACTTTAGCGGCGGAGTGCGCGAAACTGGACAAGGAGCGGGAGGTGCTTCAACTACGAATAGCAGCGCGCGATAATACACGTAACAATTCAGAAGATGTGGAAGACGCGCGTGAGGAACCACCAGGCTCCAGGAGCTTTGGGAGCCCACATAAGCTCATCCCGCAATTTAATGAGCGTCGAGACGACCTAGACGCATACTTGCAGCGCTTTGAGCGCACTGCAACAGGCTTAGGATGGCCTCAGGAAAAGTGGGCCACTAATTTGGGGCTTTGCTTAACCGGGGAGGCACTCACGGTTGTCGGTCGGATGGCACCGGCAGATGCGTTGGACTATGCCAAGGTGAAGCTAGCACTCTTCCAGCGGTTTCGTTATACCAAAGAGGGATACCGCGACAGGTTCCGAGAATCCAAGCCGGAAGACGGCGAGACAAGAAGACAGTTTGCGGCCCGATTGGCAGGGTACTTTGATAGGTGGATTGAGATAGCAGGGATTGATAAGTCTTTTGAAGCATTGCGAGACAATGTCTTGGTGGAGCAGTTCTTGCTGACTTGCTCAAGCAAGCTGGCAATATTTCTGAGAGAGCGGGACTGTCAAGGTTTGGACGACGTGGCAGCTAAGGCTGACCTGTTTCTGGAGGCTCAGGGACAACCTAGCACAAGTAAACAAAGAGGAGACGAGATGGGAAATAAGCAAAGTGCCGTAAGCGAGGGGAATCGTAGAAAAGGTGAGGTTCAAAAAGGCATCCGCTGCTTCTTGTGTGGAAAGTCTGGGCACAGAGCAGAAAACTGCAGGAGTAGTGCACAAGGAAGGAGGGTTCTGCTGTGTTGGAACTGTGGTCGCAGTGGTCACAAGGCTGTCGCTTGTAGAGAAAAGCCGAACGAGAGACACCAAGTTTCATGCCTTTGGACGATGTCTCCAGGCAACTGCGACAAGTCAGATGACTGTTGCGTCACCTTGAGTAATGGCGATAAGATTCCATTTGTTAACGCTGCCATGGGGAGGGCCCCGAAGTTCTTAGTAGAGAACATGCCCGTCGTGGAAGGTCGTCTCAGGGACCATAAGATATCGGTATTAAGAGACACCGGATGTAATACCGTTGTAGTTCGCGAGGAGCTGATTCCTCAAAAGAACCTAACTGGCAAGTCGAATCCAGTGTTTCTGTTGGATCGAACGGTCCGGTATTTACCTGATGCGGAGATCTTTGTGCAAACGCCTTACTACACAGGGAAGGTGTTGGCAAAGTGCGTCAGCAATCCACTATATGAGCTGGTGCTGGGAAATATACCGGGAATACGAGACGCTAATAACCCGAACCCAGCTTGGGTAAAAGTAGATGAGTTGGCGGGTCAGAGATTGAATGATGAGGTAGAGGTGAATCGTCGTACTGGTAAGGAGGCAGATGCCAGCAAAAATACCGATTCCGGTGACAACAAAAGGGACTTATTACATCAGGTGGAACCAGCAGAGGTCGCTGCAGCCCGGGAAACAGGCGCCGCGCGAAATGAGGCGAAAAGCGAGACGCCTCTGAGTGTACCTCAAGTGGCGATAATTAATACCACAGCGGAAGAACTCGCTAGAGAACAGAGAGCAGGCGGAACTCTAACTCGGTGCTTCGACGATATTGGAACGATCACAAGAAGGCACAAGTGCAGGACCAAGTTCCAGTTCTTCATGAAGAACAATCTTCTGTACAGGACGGCGGAATACTCTTCTGGGCGAAAGACAGAACAACTGGTGCTCCCGAAAAAGTTCAGGGCCGCCGTTGTCGCCCTCGCACATGACAGCATCATGTCAGGACACCAGGGCATGAAGAATACGCTCAACCTGGTGGCTGAAGAATTCTTTTGGCCAAGTATACAGAGCGAGATTAAGAGGTACGTTCGATCATGTGATATATGCCAACGTACAATACCCAAAGGCAAGGTTGGTAGGGCACCTCTAGGAAGAATGCCGACTATCGAAACACCTTTCCAGAGAGTGGCGATAGACTTAATTGGCCCCATCGCTCCGAGGGCAGGCTCAGGTAACAGATACATCCTGACAATGGTAGATATGGCGACGCGGTATCCGGATGCAGTAGCGATGAAGAGCATCGGGGCGCAGGAAGTAGCCGAAGCTCTGATGGAGATGTTCACAAGATATGGAGTGCCGGTAGAAATTCTTAGCGATCGGGGATCGTGCTTTACATCAGAACTAATGAAAGAGGTCAGCCGACTTCTATCAATGAAACATCTCATGACCACTCCCTATCACCCTATGGGGAACGGGCTAGTAGAGAGACTCAACGGCACGATCAAGCAGATGTTAAAGCGGATGTGCCAGGAAAGGCCTCGTGACTGGGACAGATACCTACCAGCCCTACTGTTCGCGTACAGAGAAGTACCACAGTCGAGTCTCAAGTTTTCACCGTTTGAACAACTCTACGGAAGAAGAGTGAGAGGTCCTCTGGCCATTCGGAAAGAGGTCTGGTCGAACGGAACCCTCAAAGAAGAAGTCAAGACATCGTACGGGTACATGTTGGAGTTGAGAGAGAAGAGAAGAGACGTGCAAGCTAGCTCACAGTTGCTTGGAGGAAGCAAGAGCAAAGTACAAGGGGTACTACGACAGAAAGAGTTCCAACCGGAAGTTGAAGCAAGGTGACTTGGCGTTGATCCTTCTCCCTACAGATAAAAACAAGATGATAATGCAGTGGAAAGGACCATTCCTTGTGTTGACAAGAAGGAATGAAGTTGACTACGAGTTAGACATGGGAGGAAGGAAGAAGACTTTTCACATCAACATGTTAAAGAAGTATGAAAAGAGGGAAGGAAGTCGACAAGAGCAGGCACTTTGCAATGCTGCAGCAAGCACTCACGAAATGAACGACTCCAGACACGACACTGAAGAAGACGGTCATATTCCAATGCTGAGTTTGACAAAGCAACAAGGGTGGCATGATATCGTCATAAACGGGAAGTTAGAAAGAGACAAGTCTTGCGAGGCACGCGAGTTAATAAAGGACTTCAGCGATATCTTTTCTGATCTTCCTGGGCCCGTTTTCTCGAACGCGAACCGTGGTTTAAAGTAAACTATTGTCCCTAGAAGGGGGAATTCCAGGTCACGTGACTGGGAGAGCAGGGGCGCCGAGGGACATTCATTTCGATCTGGCTGTTATATTAATGACTCACCATCAACCTATTAGCACGTCAAGCAAAGCGATAGTTCAGAGGGACTGCTAAACTAACCGACGGCAGCATTCCGCGAACGCATCACTCTTCAGCAGTCCGGGATCCAAGACATGACGGTACATAAGCCTTGCAAGTGTTTTTATGGTGAGTAAAAAAAATGTTTTGCGAACGAGAGTTGGTACATATTTATACTAAGACGTTTAATTTGTTACACTATGCACGCCAACTCGTGAGCAGCGATTACTTTGCGGAGAAAGGGGGTTATCCTCAATAAAGTCTTCATTCCGGGTGAACAGCTGAGACATTGTACTGTTTTTTTTTTTTTCACAGTGCGCCGACAGTATGCCGACAGCATTGAGGTTTCTACATATCCCCGGTGGCCAGCAATTCAACGGTGACGAGAAGCTTAGCTTCTCGTCACCGGTGAATCGGTTGGGCAAACGGAAGAGAGGGCAAACAGTTGAGATCAGCAGGAAGCGCAGAAACGTGCGTCGCAAGGAACGAAAACGAGACTACAGCACCGGCGTTGCCAGACTGGAAGAAACACGGGAAAGTTATGCGTTGTTTATGGCGAAACATATTGAAGGAAAAGTTTCTTACATTTTCGAATATTCGTCGACAAACTCTAGCACAGTTGCTAAACTTTCTTTCTTACCATCGGAAGCAAATAAATTGGTCCTCAAGTACAACATTACTATATTGTGACTTAAAATACCATACTAGATCGATGACAACCAGCGGAAAAAGGGGATAAACAAAATGACTGGCTTGTTTCACCGATAGATGGCGCATCTTATTGCCCAATCAAAAATACTTATTGTTGTTCTATATCCAGCCGTTTATTACAGTACCTAGGTACTTTTCCCTTCCTAGGCACCGTGGTTTACCAAAATGGGTTTACCATCGCTTCGAGAAAACCGGCCCTGGTAGGACAAACCTCATGACATGTGACCTTCAGCTCACCACTCCACAACCGATACATGTGAGACAGTATCCGCTACCTTTGGCTGTTCAAGATGTAGTCGAGAACGAAATCACAGAGATGCTCAAGTTGGACGTAATAGAGAGGTGTACGTCATCGTACAATGCCCCAGTGGTCATTGTGAAGAAGAAAGACGGGTCGAACAGATTTTGTATCGATTACAGGCGGCTGAATGACGTCATACATCCTGACGCAGAGCCAATACCAAGAATCGACATGACGTTGGTCAAAGCGGGACAAAAGCGTTTCTTCTCAAAACTTGACGTAGCCAAAGGCTACTGGCAGATTTCGATGGATGAAGACGCTAAGGGGAAGACGGCTTTTTCGTCGACGAGCGGGCATTATCAGTTCAAGTTTATGCCGTTCGGTCTGAAGACCGCCTCTGCCACGTTTACAAAGCTGATGCGTAAGCTGCTAGATGGGGTGCGAGACGCGCATCACTACATTGATGATATCCTAGTTGCAACAAGTTCATGGGAGGACCATATAGAGACGCTCAGGACGATTTTTGAACGTCTACGAGCAGCGAACATCACAGTAAAACCCAAGAAATGTCAGATAGGTTTGAAGAAATTAGTTTCCTTGGACATGAAATTGGAATGGGTAATATAGCTCCGGATGCACAAATCATCGAAAGGGTTCGAGATGTACCACGACCGCAAACGAAACGGCAAGTTCGTTCGTTTCTCGGACTAACAGGATTCTACAGGCAGTTTGTGCCAAACTACGCAGAAGTTGCAGCGCCGTTGGTAGACCTGACTAGAAAGGGAGCACCTAATGGTGTCGAGTGGGGCCCGAGGCAAAAGGAGGCTTTCACAAAGTTAAAAAGACGGTTGGACCAGCCACCGATTTTGCTATCACCAAATCCTGAGAAGGAATTTGTGTTACGCACTGATGCGTCAGAAGCAAGTTTGGGGGCAGTGTTACTGCAGGAGAAGGAAGGGATGCTGCACCCAGTAGCATGTGCCAGTCGGAAACTGACTAGCTCGGAAAAGAACTTCGCCAACATAGAAAAGAAATGTCTAGCGCTGGTTTGGGCAGTTGGCCGGTTTAAGCTCTTTTTGTATGGGAGGACATTTCGCGTCCAGACTGACTATCAGCCGCTGGAATTTCTCAACAAGGCAAGACTCACGAATAGTCGGGTAATGAGATGGAGCATGGCGTTGAAAGATCACAGTTTCAACGTAGAGTATATTAAAGGTAGGGATAATGTGGGCGCGGACTTTTTAAGCCGGCTCTAGGGTGCCTTTCCAGAGGGAGATGGTTCACTGACCGGAGCTGATTGAGAGGTGCGTGCCACAAATCCGTATATACGTCAGCGGTATGGAGGAACCACAGTCAGTATCGACTTAGGCTCTAACAGGCACCAACCTTGGCAGCTGGTCGGTGTCGTAGGTTCTTATAAGGTCTTTGGTTTTTTGTGTGTGTGTTTTATGGTTGTACGCTTATCGGATAAATTTTTCCTGAATAAGAATAAGTTCGACCTACGACGAGGTGCTTTAGTGTATTATGGAAGAACGAATCAGAGATTCCTCGTTTGTAAACCTTTTTTGTTTGGTAAAAGTGTGAAATGGTGTGACATTTCGGCAACGGTTGAGTGTTGGCGTTATCGTTTGTGGCGGGTGTTGTGAAAGTGTCGTGACAAAAACTCGTATCTCTCGGTTGCGATCAGCGATGTTGTGACGGCACCTGGAGGAGAAGAAACGGACAAGATAGAAGTTTGTTACAAACTTCTCGTGTTTGTGGGTTGATGTCATGATTTGGGAAAAGAAAACGAAGAAAGAGAAGGGAAGAAAAAGAAGAGCGGTATCGCGGGTGCGCAGGGATTCGAAGCTGGACCAAGAGCCGCGACGGTTGGCTGCTCGAACGGTGCGCTACCCGGCTCCGTCCCGGCGTCAGTGTGGTCGACGTAACCGGCTCCGTCCCGGCTCCAACGCGCTGAGAGTCAACGCGCCTGGCTCCGTCCAGGCTGCAGGGAAGCTGAACTTCAACGTAACCGGCTTCGTCCCGGCTTCAGCACGGTGACCAGCAGCGCAACCGGCTCCGTCCCGGGATCAAGACACCCGGACCCGAGATAACCAGACCCCTCCCGACATCGCGGCACGCTCTGCTTCACCAACGGTCAAGGGGGCGAACCATCAAGGGCACCAGCGGCCCGGGCTACGACCCCAGGGGTGACTATACTGCCTACCGAACGTGCTTGGACGGTTGAATGGTTTCTTTTCTTTTGCCTTTCTAACGTTTCCTCTTTTTTTTTATTTTTACTTCCTGACTTGAATATATATATATATATTTGTTTTTGTTTTTTTCTCATGCATTTGTCTCAGTCTCCCGATCCTTCCTCTCACCACCCCGGACGAACCTGACAACGAGGGTCCCGCTCGGTGCATTATGGGACATTTCCCATGATGCAACGCGCTAAGAGGAGGAGCGGGAGGAAAACGAGGGGGAGGAGGAGGAGAGAGAGAGGAGGAAAAGGGGAAGAGAGGGGGAGGAGGAGGGAGAAGGATGAGGAGGAGGGGAGGGAGGGGACGAGGGGGACGAGGGGAGGAGAAGGAGGAGAGCAAAACGACGAGGGGGGCAGGAGAAAGAAGAGGAGGAGGAGTGGCTGGGAGGATGAGGAGGAGGGAGGAGGGAATAGCCTCCCCTCAGCACCCTTCCCTCCTCCTCCTCAAGAGCTGCGCTCCCATTCGGCGTTACAGGGTGTTGTAAACGTCTTTCTTTTCTTTTTTTAATGTGCAGGCTCTGGTGAAACATGGTAACAGCTATGTTTCATTAGCTAGTCTTCGCTGTGTTGGGGAAAACAGGACAAACACAGCAGTGAGTAGCTCTACTTGGTTTCGCCTCACGATAAACCACAGGAGACGCTACGAGTCATCGTAACCAATCCCATGCCGTGCGAGTGCCACGGGACCTTCGAGACGAGCCAAGGGAAGCGCAGGCACGTAGTCACCTGGTACAACGCTGGATTGGCTGGGATGGCCCGTGGCGTCGTCCGCGGTCCATCATGAGGTGAAGCAAAGTTATAGTTATATCACGGCCACTCGATCCCCCCTAATAGAGTGGCTGTGGTTATATCATGTCCAGCTTTCCGGTATTTGGAGCAAATGGGAGCGACCCGTTGCAGAGCAGACGGTTTAGAGCTGTCGGCTCTTGACATCCGTATACGATGCTCGCGTTGTCGATGGACCGCAGAACGTGTCGAAAAGTTTAACAATGCTCTGTATTCCAGCTTTTAACGCATATAGTGTAAATAGGCTCATCTCCATGAGAAAAGTGTTACGTTCCAGCGTCAGATATAAGCGTAGCATAGTTAGAGCCCTTAAGCCGATGTCCCCCCCCCCCCCCCCCCCCCCCCCCCCCATACTGCCCATACATCATACAAAAGACGTGAGTCACGGCGAGATCCGTGCTTCGAACCCCGTCCTTACAGTGAGTTCAAGGAGAAAGCTTGGCACGCCGCATTCGAACCACGGATATTGCGGTGACTCGTGCTTTAGAGACCATGACCATAGCTCACATAGCCCATAGGCCCCCTTGGGACGTCTTGAGGTCATGTGACTCCATGAGTCGCGTGATACCGTGACATCGCGTTACGTCATGTCATCGCGTGCCCCGAGACGTCACGTAATTCCATGACGTTACGTAACGTCAGTCACGTGACCTCCTGACGTCACGTGACGTCAAACGCACGGCATGTGCCCAGTTCATTTGCAACTCCTTCTGCGCGTGTCCGAGTTTATTCGTTATAAAAAAGAGACGTTGATTTCTTTTGAGCGAAGGAGCTTGCCTTGAAAAAAGGTCAAGACTGTCAAGTAATCTTGGCAAGAAGTGCGATAGCTTACGTGGACCTTGAAGTTTATCTCGACGGAAGGACCGAGCATGGCCATCACTGTACCAGCGGCTACAAGCGGGGTGGCCTGGTAATGCATGGACAAGATCTGCTCCAGCCTCCGGATCGACAGGGACCTGAGCTATAAAGACAGGCCGGATCTCATCACTCGTCAGAAGTCATGACTCTCTCCGAGGTACACTGGTTAACTATCTTACTGCCATATTTAGGCCGGTAAATACGGCCCGGAGAATGTGTGCAAAACTAGTTTGGCAACAAAAAAGAACATAAATAGGCCACAAGTGTAAGTATTGTTTTGTCGTTGACCAACGGAGTGGTCAACCGCGTGTTTTGTATAACCAATCGTTAAGAAGCACGAATCGCTGTCATCTTAAGTCTAATTTCAGAGTTTGGGAAAAAATACTGGACGTTCAGTACAATTCAGGCAGATATGTTTAGTTCCCTTTGGTAGGTGTCGAGCCCACGGAATAGCACCAATGCTGCCTTCCGAGTTGAGGCAACATTATTTTCAATACTTGGTTCGCACGTGACGTCATATAAAAAACAAAGTCGTTGGTGCGAAATACATACTGCGCAAGGTACCCGCAAGTACCAATGTTCTTTACAATGGCCGTCAATGTGATGTCACTGCCAACCCCGTATTGGGACAGTCTTCGTGCAGTCAGGCAGGACACGTCAGTATTCTTTCCGCCCCCGACATGCACGTCGCAGAGACAGGAACGCCAGGAGGGAGGCATGTGGTACCTTTGACTTCTCCAAGATGACCCTGTCCTCATCGACGGGCATGAAGGCGTTGCAAATCCAGTACAGCGTCTGATTGTTGAGCACGCTCTCGACTTGCATGATCTGCACGGCCAGCCGCTCGGCGGCTGGATGAAAAGGCGATAAGCATCGACTGATTCTCGAGCTTGCATGGCTTGCACATGACGTCATCCAGAGAGCGCTCCGATGGCCACCAGAGAAGAGGGGAAGAAGGAGCTCCGTTTTTACCAGGACCCTCTTTTGTGTGTCCCAGATTTGCGCAGGCGCCGCTATTCTCCCCCCAGGAGATCATAGAAGATTAACCCGTCACTTAAAATTTCTAGAAAGGTAGCTTCACTCTTTCTTTCTATAATGGTGGCCAAAAGTAAACGCGATGGGACGTCTGCGTAAGCCATGTATTTAATTCGAACTGTTTCTTTTCTTTTTTTATATCGAGAGGAAGTTAGACGAGTTCTGTCTTCACCATCAATTTATCAGGCTCGGCGAATGTTAGAAGAGACAATAATCGTTATGGTAAGTTGAGTAATTCATCATGCATGTACATGCTCATCACATTATCATTTTCACTAGATGCGGCACCGCGGGCCTCCATGGTATACGGGCTGCTGCCTTTCCGCGGTGCCGCGGCTGTCCAGAGCCAAATAGATAAAGACTGAAGACTAAAGACTAAAATATGTTAATTAGCTTCTTTAATAATTGGTTTTAGGGGTCATGTCGCAATTGTAGTATTGATGGCAATTACTCTTAAAGTCAGACCAATGTAAACAAAATTAAAAAAAAAGGTAATTTTTTTTAAAAATTTTTATCGATCGATTTTTTTCATTTTGTCGTCCGATTAAAAAAAATGGCCTCAAGAAGAGCGTTGTAAGCCCTGCCCAGAAGGACGCTAGGAAGAGCGATGTCGTCGTTTCGATCATGTCGTGACTGTCTCGTCGGCCTGTCCTTGGTGCTTGCGCGGGCGACACAAGTAACGACGTGACTGACACGACTACGTCACTTTCCAAGCGTCATTGTGAGCAGGGCTTCCTGCGCTCTTTCTTCACGGAAGTTCACGCAAGGCGAGAAAAACCTTGCGCGGTTATTATTTCAAACACCATCACATTTTCGCAAATTCTTTAAATTGGCATGGCCTTTAATAGCAATTGCCGTCAACACTGCACTTCCGACATGACCGTTGAAACCGATACTTAAAACGTTAATGAACAGATTTTAAAGGGCAACTCCGCTGCATTCTGAAAAATTCGAGATAATGAGTGATTTCACATTAAAAAACACTAATAGAAGACACTACGTCATTAGCTTCGCGAAAAATGAGTTATATATTGTGTTGTTATATCTTACTTTAAACATAAGCAGAAATCGAAACCTAAACTTCGGCTCCGTCTCACAACACGGGCCTCGGGCCGCCAAAAACATGGCTATCACGTGGTACGAGATGTCACGTGATCCTCTGTGCAATGACGGGTGCAATGACGGCCGGCCACCGTTGAGGCGAGCGTGTGCCAGGCGTAAGTGTCATCTGCACCGCACTCTTCAACACGTTTTGGTGTCTACGACATTCGACGACGTCTGCACAACCGCGGCATCAGTCTGCAAACGTTGCGTGAGAAAAACCCCGAGATACAATAATCACAAACGATGAGATGATGACGGCGGTTGTGACTCGGGAGACGGCGGTAACGGCGGGACGCCGGTCACGTGGACATCGCTGAGCGCCGAGAGAAAACGTTGCTGACGTCACCCGCTACGCTTGCCCCGGAAAAGTGAAAACAAACAAAAAAGGGGGCAATGGTGATGACGTTTAGCTCAATGTTGGCTACGCCAACGCCGTAGCTTTCACTGCGCTTTTGGTTGCTCCTCAATTCGCTCGCTAGAGTCAGCCGATTTCGGTTACTTGGCACTGTGCAAAGTTTGCCAGACCATTTAAGAAACATTTGGTCAGAACTAGGTTGTAATATTTGACATGATTTGACGTGTGGTCTTCCTAGGTGATACTGAAGAGGACTGCATTGTTAAAAAAAATGAAACCGAGTTGCCCTTTAAACAATTAGTTGATTTACCGCGAAGATTATTCTTTCACCCAACGTCCCCCGAGCTTGATAAATACATGCTAAAAACAGAACACGTCTAACTCTCACTCCCTATATATATATATATATGTCCAAATTAAAAAAGAAAAATTAGAATCGAACGCCCAGTATATCTTTGCCTTCAGTCTACTGTCTAACGGGATAAGTCACTGCCAACCCAAGAAACGCGGAAGATGGCGGGTCCCCTGAATATCATTAACACTCCGCAGTCAATGAGATTGCAGTAATAAGTGATAAGAATGTCGAAAAGCTAATCCCGAAGACAGACACGCGTCCAGAAATGTAGGGCATATGTCCTTGCGCAAGAAAAAGCAACCGCGTCGGCTCGGTGTGTTCTTTTGGTAATCAGGGGTATAAAGCACTTCTGTGCATTCCGGCCTTCCAGCGAAACGCGCAAGAGGGAATAGTGATTCCTTTATGTTCCAAAATATAGAAGACTGACTTTGTTCGATGAAAAGTGAAAATAAATGTATCATGCCTCGTTAATCAGCGGCAGAGCATTGGAGGACAGTGTAAGCGCACTACGACCACCATCCATCTACTGCAGATAACACATAGCTGGCACGAAGTAGAGTTACTTTGAAGTTACAAACAAAACAGCCACAACGTGAATTTTTGTAAATAATCACGTAACCTTAATCTAGTAAAGAAAGAAAAATTCATCTGCAACTTACTCGCGATATCCTCCAATGGAAACTCCCTCTGAAGAAGTCTGTGGAAATTCGTTCTCTGGGCCATTGTGCAGTTGTCAACACGTTTCAGGACGGGCTGTTCAAATAAGAAATTAGCGGCCAGTCTATAACGCGTATGCCTTCGTTCCACTTTCTGTCAGATCGACAACATGCAAAGCTTTGAGAGCACCGCTCGTGATTTAGCAATTATGCATGCAATCTATCCTCACAGGAGATGAGAGGTCATTCTCTTGAGACAAAAGGCCCATACAAACAATTACCATTGAGAGCGTATGAGAGCGTTGCGACTCTACGAGTAACCATGACATCCGTACCTCGTATGCCGTATGTAAAGGTACTCATTGAGTTGGTTGCCACGCCTCATACAAGGCGCAAATAACCCGGTGAGTCGTGGCTGTTTTTCGGTGCAAGGCATGCAGTTAAATAGTCAAACGTACTCCACCGCAACTGTGTGCATGGGCTTTGAGGGTGCAATTGACGAGGTGTATATCTCCAAGTTTGTTGTAGTGGCCTTATACTGGAGTATCCGCGCACATTTGAGTAAAAGTGGACGTCAATAAGGTGAAGGTGAAGCTCCTTATAACACGGCCACACCACAGCGCAATGCGCAAAACTCAATTGTCCTTTTCTGAAAGCAGGAACTATATCCACGCGCCTCCATCTCAGCGAAGCGTCGACATCGTGTAGCTTAACTCCCCGAGAACGTTTATACACACCATCTGAAAGAGCCGTTTCTCTTCCAGCTTCCGTGGAATGAACTTCTCTCTGACTTGAACCCTGGGCGTGCCCGGAAAAGTGGCCTGGACCACGGCGACCCTGTGTTGTGTGCTTGACCACTCGTCCTTGCAGATGCAGAAGATCTCTGTTCGCCCGACGATGACGACAGCCTGAGGAGCCGATGCCAACGTCGTTGAAGCAGGTGTAAATACGCGCGTATAAAGTGCAAAGCATGATCGTGCCCTATCGTCTTTTCGCAGCCGTCAGACCTGTTTACCCGTGACGGGTCACTATGTTGGGTTTTTAACGTGACCCTGCTGGTTACAATCAAAAGTTACCTTCTTTTGAATGGCCTAGAAATGGAAGGGTCCCGGCCGCTATAGCTACTGACAGGATGAGAACGACAGGGATTCCTTTTCGGATTCCCGGCTTCCTGCACGCAGTAGTTTTTGATCCAAAAGACAATCAGAAATTGTTGATGGTACATCAAAATTTCTTGAAGTTTCATAGACCTTGTTGATGGCCCGTCACACCTCCTTGGCGGCTCAACAAACCTTCTTGATGGCCCGAGAGACCCTCTTGATGGCCCATCAGACTTTTTTGATGGTCGTAGCTACAGGCTCACTTGGCGGTATTTGATGAACCATCCAACATTTTCTGATGGTGGCTGACGGATCATTAAAGGCTGCGGTTGGTGACTCACAGACCGTCAAAACGTTTCTTGTGGTGGCTGATGGACCATGAAAACGTTTTGATGTTGTCCGGGTGAGACCATCAGGATATCTCCACACACCAACGGAATGTCCAAAACGCTGATGAATCTTCTCATGGCATCTTTCGGTGGTGGGAGGAACCTGGCCCTTTTTGGAACGTTCCAGCAGTGACTGAGAGGGGACTCCGAGGGTCTCACGCCGTCGCACATGCGTGAATGACATGTTTGCACAGCTGACAGCAGTGTGGCTCGATAATGCAGTGGTCAATCCGTAATAGTCCGCCTCTAAAATTTTTCTATAGGATACTCCAAACAGCAAAAGACACCTTCCCATAGACTCATGTATGTTTTTGCAGCAATAGTTTTGTTTTAAATTTTGTTCGGGCTTGTTGGCGAAACAATTTGTTGATCGGCTTTGTATGCCAAATAGATTATGTTTTCGATCTAAGTGGCAGAGAATGTGCCGAAAAACGCGCATTGCTTGATCGGAACTTAACTTACTAGGCAAACGTGTAGTAAACTAAATGTTTGCGAAAAAAAAACAAAAAACGTTTACAAAGTCACGAATGCGAAAAGACGAGGCTCACCGCAGTCTCGGCCAGACGAGGCTTATTGTATTTCAGGTTTTCGCAGCGTGAACGATGGGGACAGAGTGTAGATAGCGACACCGCTAAGGCCGCACGTTGCGAAGTCTCGAAAGACGCGAGTGGATTAGGCGCATCTTTTCTTCAGTTTTGTTTTTTAGTGTAATAATTTAACGCAGAATAATCTCTAAATAGGAATAATAACATGCCATACCCAAAATACGAAGTTTGCTTACAGGTTTCTATTGGATTTTGGAAGGTATTATCTAACTCTTGGGATCTTCCTTTTAAGGCGAAAGCATTTAACTGTCCCATGGAGCGAAACGACGTCATTACCTTTGAAATCACGCCAAACGTTGGCCAAACGGCACCTACAGTCCCCTTTTTCAAGTGAAGTCGATTTCTGATGGATTATGCTCTCATTGGCTGGCGCGCGTCATCAAGGAACAAGGCTCCCATTGGCTCTCGTGCGGCGTAATTGCAAAAAACAAAAAGCCACCAGAGAAGCCCTCTCCATGGCGTGCATGGCTGCTGCCGCGGCCGCCGGTAGGAGGAGGCAGAGCCGCATATGTAGAGAGTTCGTCCATTTATTGGGAAGTGAAGGAGACAGGTGAGGAGGCGCCAATGGCCGAAAGCGGGCTGGGCGTGTTCCAGGGCGTCTTTACAAATTCGAATGTGGCCAACCAGGAGCCAGAAATAATACCCTGGCGGTGGTCGCGAGAAACGAAATTAATAGGTGCGTCGGAGTAACTCTCGGTGACTGAAAATATGGTGCACGTGATGTTTCCATCACGGTCATCCAAGATTACGGTGGAGGAGCGCAACTAGCAGAACGATCGACATAATCCGTACGCCAGGCGCCGAGGGCCGGGAATCTGCCGTCCGAGCGGTCACACACTGTCCGAGGAAAACAGAGTTCGAGCGGCATATTTCGTTTTTTACATCTTTCTGCATGATCATAATCGAAACATCACGTGCGCCCTATTTTCGACCAGGAAAGATTACTACATTCAACTTTTACGCGCTTATTAAAACCATATACCTATGATTAAAACTGTTTCTCGCTACCACCACTAGAGATTTTTCTCGGCTTCTGGTGGGTAAGAGAGCATGTCAGGCCTTTTGTCTGCGTCTGGTGCACGCCCTGGCTCTGCCCGCGCCTCTTATTGATCAAGCTCTCTCTATACACGGCTCTGAGAGGAGGGAGCGGTGGCGGCAGAGCCAGAGCCCGTCCGGGCAGACTCTAGAGAAATCGCACGGCCTAGCTCAACGCGGCGCGGCCATTTCACGAAAGCGCGCCCTCGGCCGTCCCCCGGCGAAACGTGACCGTACACGTCACTACGTCGCAGACGAACTAAGGGAACGGAAGAACGGCATTCATACTTTCGCATTCACAACTCATAAAAAGTGTTTAGGTGTGCTCGGACCTTTTTCAAATAATGATGAACAGGAAATAAAGTTCATATTTCCCTACAATTCAATCTGTCTTCTACCGGTACATATCTCTGATTAGAAATCCCTACCGACCATTGCACCAACAGACCATCAATGGCCGTCAGATGTCGCAAAATATGACCGAACGTTGGACCATCAGGCCTTCAAACTAACAGGCCATCACACCACCAAGCCATCAAAACATCACACCATCAAAGCATCGCGCCATCAAACAATCGGACCATCATGTCCCAAAACACGACAAACCATCAGCCTGATGTGCCATCAGAAATTTCCTGACTGTCCCTTTTGATGGGGTTGCCCTTCCTTCGTGCTCTGGCTGCACCCGCACGCTTAAAACTCGCGAGATGCCGACGTTGTATCAAAGCTCCGAAGCTCGCGCTGGAGGCGAGACAACTAAAAGATATCCATGCCGTTCTCAATCGCTCAGTGGCCACAGATTCATCGCTTTAGTTTGGTTATTATATTCATTGCAGTTCCGTAAAAACTCTATGCATGTTTAGCAGGCGACCTTCACAAGAAACCTGTCTATAGAACAGCACTGTAAACCGATGAACCAACGTGTCAATCGCAGAAGCACGCCCGCTTCAAACTGCAAGTGAGTATAGTTAAAACCACGCCACGCCGCCACGCTCCCCCTCTTTTTCTCTTTCGATTGACACGATGACCCACCTCAAAAATTTGAGGGCGTACGATAAATGATGCAAGGCTAACGACGCTGATTTGGCAAGCATGCAATATATTAATAAAGCGAGTAAAAGTAAACGGATGAATCAATTATGGCAAGGCCACTGACAAGCGCCTTGGTGAACCACCAAGGCGCAAATAATCAACCTTTCGTGTCAGAAACATGTTTCATCGTTGAGGGCAGATCCTCCCCTCAACGGTACCTTGCTCCTAGACAAAAGAAACATTTCTGTTAATCCCCCCAAGTCACTGAATCATTTTGATAAGGAAATGTTTGAAGCTGTAGAATCATGCACTTAGCAATTATAAAAAGTGCATCAGTGTTTCTAGGTTCAGAAGGTCTGATCTCGACGGAAACTAAGGCTTAAACTTCCAAACGAACCTTGGAAGATAAAGTTCGGTAAACAGGAGATGAAATTTCGTAAGTGGTTCTTAACGTAAAAGTCAAGCTTTACGAGGAATCCAAGTTATAAGGACGTAACGGAGAACACATTTCTACCAGATCTACGCAGATATCTCGTAGCCACAGTTTCTGACCCTTTGTTTTCGGTGCTCACCTTGCAGTTCGGAGATTTGTCGACTTCCTCTTCGTCCAAAAATCGGCAGTCGCCGATGATGGTGACGAGTTTGTAGCGTCTGTAGACGTTCAGGTCGACTCCGGTCCCGGGGTGCACCATGAGGACCGTGATGAAGAGGTGCCTCGCGTCAGTTGGCAGGTAAGCCGCGGGCACACGGTACGTGTACATGGACTGAGCTTTGGCCACCGAGACTCCGGCCGAAGACGAGCCGCGACCCGTGTTAGGGCCCTCCCCGACGCCTTGGGCGCCGATGCCGCTGGAGCCCGTCATGTTGTGCACGTCAGGCACTGACCTCGAGATGACCACCTGAGACGTCGGGGAACGAGTTAGGCTTAGCCATCAAGGGTAGCCGATAGTTCGTATACAGCCTGTTCTTCAAAAGACATTGGGGTTTTTTGTTTTGTTTTTACCGCAAAAGTAAACTTCGTATTGCCGAACCCTTGTTCTCCACCCAATACCAGCGCTAGCTGTCCGATGCAGATGTCCAGAGTTCCAGAACTAACGGTTACCTCATTCAAAGGTCATAAGTGATTTTCCTGAAAATTTTAATGGCAAAACTGTGTTATTCGTTGTTACCAATTCAGAGCTCCCGGCTGCTTCTTGTCAGAACGCCATGTTTATTTATGATGTGTCGTCTTCCTCCTCTACCCTCAAAGCCCCACGGCACATCTCCTTTTAAGACTGGTCTATTTACAGGTTTCACTAGTCCTCCACTGCGTGTAGTGTACGCAGTTGATCCGATGTTGGGTACCGACGTTTCTTTCATGACTTCAGTCTTTGGCATCAGTGTGAGATGGAAGCTGTTTTTCGAAGTGTAGTTGTATCGGTGTCCACTAAGTACGCTCTCGAACTCTCAGTTGGACACCGTACGATTCCTCTTTTTCGTTTATCGGTGACCCAGACAACGTCACCTCTGCTCAATGGTTTGCGCTGTCGTACCCCTTACAAAAAATTTATATCTGGCCAGATCTGAAGATTTCAGATATGGCCATATCAAAAATTGGCCACATATAACCTGATATGGTATATCTGCCAGATATAGCCCCGTAACGCCAGATATAGCCTGGTACCCCTGGCCAGATATGGAAATCCCAGATCTGGCCAGGCATTTCAAAAGTACAAAAGCCTGAAATCAGCACTTTATATCTTTTTATTGTCCACAATTCTCCCAAGTGCCCCGGCCCGCACTCGAGGAGTTATGGAAACGGTGGTCCTTCAGCTCCTTAGTAATCGCTACTTTTGACCAGTTTCATGATTACACAGTTTCGAGTGTAATTCGTAGTCACCGTCAACAAGCCTCCCATAGGGCTCAAGTACCTATCATATCACTTTTAAGTTTTTCGTCAATGGCAGCGTTCAGGATATTGTGGATTCTGTCCAAACTTCAACCAGGCTGAGCCGCCGAAATCTCTTACCATATTATCATTCTCGTGATTGTTGTTTTAGCAGGAATTACTTAAAAGCTGAGAAATCACAACAACCAAAACCGGGATTTAGCTCGGACTCCGCGGAGCTGTTTATGACATTTTTAGCGTTTGTAGCTTAATATCAGGGTCTTTGAAGTTGTACGAAAATGAGAATAATGTAAGAGATATGTCTGCGGCTCACCCAGGTTGAAGGTTGGACGGAATGCACAGTACTGACACTGGCGGGACATTTTAAAAGTGGGATGGCAGGTATTTGGGTTCTGTACGGCACGTGTTCAGGGTGACTCCGAATTACACTCAAATCTGTGTAACCATAGAATAGCTCGAAATTTTCGATTACTAGACAGCTGAAGAAACACCGTCCCAATGATTCCTCGAGTACGGGCCGAGGCACTTATGGGATTTAGCAAATTGTCTATTCGGGCGTAATGTTAACACTTTGAAATAATTAAGCTACATTGAAATCCTAGCGAAAACTAGCACAAATAATCTTAAACTTAAGCTTGTCGAAGCTGAAGTTTGGAATTATTTGTGCTAACATTTAGGTCGCGAACAATAAGTCATTCAGAGTTTTCTAACAAAGAATTTTTTTTACTTGTTTTAACTTTTTAATATATTGAAAACCGGCCGCCGGATAAGTCTGTATATACGCCAGATAAGTCTGTATATACGCCATATCAGGCTGTATATATGCCAGATAAGACTGTATATACGCCAGATAAGTCTGTATATACGCCATATCAGGCTGTATATACGCCAGATATGTCTGTATATACGCCAGATAAGAATGTATATAGGCCGTATATAATCATATAATGTTTGGTATGGCCAGATATGGCCCAGATATAAGATTTCCATACGGGACGTCGTCTGTCATAGATGGCTTTCTGTCCACCTTTTCTTCTCTTCTCCCATTTTTGGAATCGTTGGTGATCCACAAGTCTTGGTTCCAAACTAGAAGAAACCGTTGGCAGTGACGTTCTCAACTTGCGGCCCATAAGCAACTTGGCGGGACTATATTCATTGCCTAATGGTGTTGCACGATCTGCAACGCGATGTAGCTGTCTGATGTCTTCTTAAAGCTTTTCTTAATAATCCCGACAGCAACTTCCACAAATCCGTTACTCTGCGGATGTCTTGGTCTGGACGTTTTATGTTCGAAACCCATTCTTGGGCAAACTGGTAAAACTCACTTTCGGCAACTCTCTGGAATTGTGGTCCGTTGTCGCTGAACAAATCTTCAGGAGTTCCATGTTGTGCAAAAATTGGCTTTAGATGTGCTGTGACACACGTCGCAGTCAGACTGGTGAGAGTGCAATTTTTGGATATCTCGAGTAATAATCTGTCACTAGAAGGTAATTCTTTCCTGACAGATAGAACAGATCCATTGCCACTTTCTGCCGAAGACGCTTCGGGAACATTGATGGCATCAAAGCTTCATGATGGATGGAGGTTTCCTTGAAGCATTCAGGACATCTGTGTACCATGCTCTCGATGGCTGCTGAAAGCCCTGGCCACCATACAGACTCCCGCGCTTGAGCTCTGCACTTGGTTATTCCTTGTTGTCCTTGGTGGATCCTCTGTAGGATATCGGAGCGCATGGAACTTGGGATAATGATCTTCTTGCTCCTCTCATGCGTAGTCCATCTTGAACTGCAATCTCTGACCAGTGTGGCCGATACCCTTCACAGTTCGTAAGGGCTTTTTTACGATTGGACCAGCCCTCTTTGCTGTACCATACCAACTGGTTACATGTGGTGTCTTTGGCCTGTTCTTCTCTGAACTCTTGTAATCTCTTTTTAGTCGCTGGAAGATCAGCAGTCACCCCCTTGACGTATGCAGCCGCTTTTTGTTTTAGGTCTTAGTCTCCTTTTTCTTTCAGAGGCTGTTGAGACTGTGTCTGCTGCAATCAGCGCCTTTCCTGGGATGTGTTTCATCACATAGGAGAATCGCATCATTCTCATCTTCATTCTTTAAAGTCTAGGAGTGATGACAGCCAGGTTCTTCGACATGAAGATTGGAACAAGCGCTTTAAGGTTGGTTTCAATTTCAATGTGAAGACCAGTTACAAAATCTTGAAATCTCTCGCATGCCCAAACTACCGCTAGGCCTTCTTTTTCCACCTGTGCATATTTCATTTCCGTGTATGTGAGTGTCCGTGATGCGTACGCAACCGGTTTGAAGGATCCATCTTCCTGACTTTGAAGAAGCACAGCTCCCAAACCGTCTGATGACGCATCGGCTAAAACTACTGCGTGCTTTTCAAGAACAAATAATGTAAGTACCGAACTTGTTGTAAGTGCACCCTTAAGCTGATCAAAACTTCTTTGCTGTTCCATAGCCCAAACCCAGTGGCTGTTCGAGCTCAATAGAGAAGTAAGCGGACAGGCGATGTGTTACATGTTTGGTATAAACTTTGTCGAATAGTTTACCATATCCAGAAAGCTTCTGAGTTCGTGGACATTCGAAGGAGGCTTCATGTCAACGATAGCCTTGACCTTGGTGCTGTCAGGGAGTATCCTATCATGATCAATGATGTGACCCAAGAACTTGACTCTTTGGACGCCGAATTCACAAAGCCGTTCATTTCTCTTGAAAGCACTCCAGGGCTTGCCGTAGTCTGTCATCGTGCTCTTGTCGAGAGCTGCCATAGATGCGATCATCGTCCGTCTTGCATACTACGCCCTCGAAACCGTTCAGGAACTGCGACATCTACTTTTGGAACAATTCTGGAGCGGATGATATTCCAAAAACCATCCTCTTGAACTTGAACTTTCCGAAGGGTGCAATGAAAGTCACCAGAGCTTGAGACTTTTTAGCAAGTTCGAACTGCCGAAATCCAGAGTTCGCGTCAACTATCGAAAAATATCTTGCTCCAGCAAGCTGCCCAAAAACGTGTTCTCCTATTGGAAGGGGATGAACTTCCCGCGCGACGAACTTGTTCAGTTCGGTCAAATACACATATTAGGATTTCTCCGTTGGGTTTTCGAACGATCACCATGCCAGAGTACCACTCAGTCGGCTCTTCAATCGGCTCGTTAATTCCCATTTTAATCATTTCTTCAAGTTTTGTTTTGGTCTTACCGAGAAGTGGAATAGCCACTCTTCGAGGTGTCGTCAGCGCCAAGAGTTCAGCGTCAGGCCTCAGTTTGATCGTGTACGGTATATTGATGTGGCCCAGTCCAGAAAAAAGTTTAGTATATTCTCTTTTTGGGTCGACCGTATTACCCCGCAAGGAGTCAACTTGGTCGAGACGTTGAACGATGCCTAGTTGTTCGCTTGCATCTTTCGAGAGCAGCGGTTGTTCCAATTCTTCTACAATATGCAGATCCGTTCTGAAGCTCTTGTCTCTCTAGTGAAGTGTCTCGTTTATGACACCAAAAACAGGCAGGGCCTTCTGAGTTGGACCCTTTAGGACCTTCCTGAAACTCTGCAGAGAAATGTTCTTGAAAACGACTTTGTATATCTTGACAGGGACCGCGGTGACGTCGGCACCCGTGTCAACCTTGAATGTTATGGAGACATCTCGGACGCCGATTTTGACTTTCGACCGCTCTCCCTCTGAAGTTGACACCGTGCCGAGAAATGCTGTCTCCACAGTCGTTACTTCCTGCAGTGTGGCAGGGCTTGTGCAAACACGCACATAGTGTCCAATTTTTCTGCATTTGGCTTTACGTGCGGGGCACTTCTCTTTCTGATGCAGCCCGTAGCCCCATTTTTAACAAACGTTTTCGTTCGTTTGTAAACTGGAACGAGACAGTGTCGTCTTTCCCTTTTTTTGCTTCCCCTTTCTTTAACTTCCGTTATTTTCAAGACGCATTACTACTCTGTCAATCTTTTCTTCATGTGAAGTGTAGAGAGTAACTGCTGTATC